ATTTTAAGCTGTACTTCTGGAGGGGGATGGGAAAAAAACCCCCACTTACCACCAGCAAAAAAAAAAAAAAACAAAAAAACCCTGCAAAACCCTAGGGTGAGGAGAATTGTGGACTAGCAGTAATACTAAGTTCAGTAACTTCAGCATCATGCTTTCTGTCTGTGTCACTGTTTTGTTAATGACAGCCTTCTCTGCACAACCTTTGCTGGAAAACTGGTGTTTTTCACATGTTGTCAAGCAGCTGTTTTTTCAAATTCCTTAGGCTTGGAACTATTATACCTAACTTTCAGATGTTTATGATGTGTTTTGGTTTACCATTGAATTATATTCAAAGGCTATCATCTCAATTGGTGGTAAGGTCTCTTGACTAGTCAACATAGGAATTTTGCTTACACACACACACACGGAAACTCAAGTCTCCCATGGCTGAATGTAGTTAATATATTAAAAAATGAATTGGTAAATGCTTTTCTGCTGTAGTTCTGACAAAAACACAAGAGTGACCTGAGCGATTACTGTAACTGAGCCAAAGATCAGTTATTTTTCTATAGCAGGAAAACTAATTAGTTCACAGAGAAAGAGTTCTTTTGGTATGAATTTACATTTAATCATCGTCAGTGGAGTTGTTCAAATAATTGTCTAACTTGGTGGAGGTTGGGGGGAACTATAAGCAGTGTGATGAGCAAAATGGACAAATTATCCTGCCTCTTCTGGTAGAACATTCCGTAGAACAGCACTTTCTGGAATACGTTTCAGGTTAAATATTCACTGTCATGATGATACCCATTCAGTTCTCTGTGGAAAATGTATTTATTAGTAGTGAGAAAAGCTTGAAATGCAAACCAGAGTGAAAAGCTGTGAACACAGTAATAGCACTTCCTTCTATCATAATATGTCGACTTGCATTCTGCAAAATGTGTGAACGTATATATCTGTTCTTTATATAAGTAGTTCTACTTGTGTGAAGAAATCTCTCACCCGAGTAGAGGTTTCTTCCCAGGGCCAGGATGTTTTTAGCTGCAAGCTCAGTTAGGATACTCTGACTGTGGTATACTGTATGAAGTGTTTTATGACATGAGCATAATATATATGCTAATACTTTCTTTTTATTATCTTGAATAAAATACTGAAAATAATCTATGTCTTCCATTTTTATTTTTATAGAAGAATCTGTTAAAACAAGCAACGGAGATCTTTCCAACTCTGCGCCTGCAGATCCTGTTGTGAAATGATAAAGCTGGTATGGGTGATGAGTACTTACTCAAATAATTCACTTTTCTTCGTTACTATCAGTAACGCTCTGTAGGGGTAAAAGCTCTAGACTTGATTTACTTTCTCTGCTAAACCCAATAGAAAATGTACATTAGTACGCTAGCATCCAGAGCTGCTAAGTCTGCATTTGTCTCTATTTCCTGTAGAAACCCTTATTTTTCAGGGGTTGATTTACATTATTTACAGCACTCTTTCTCTAGTTTGAAAATAACCATACAAAATCTTGACCTGGAGGAAGTTATTTTAAATTACAGAAGTGTGGATCAAAAAATCCTCCTGATTTGTAATTGCTTTCTTGCATCTCTAACGTAACACTTCAAAAAAACAAAAACAAAAACCAAACCAAAACAAAAAACCCCCAAACCACCCCCTCAAAACAAACAAACAAAAACCTCACAACAGTAGTCTAAAATTTGAACTGGTGTGCCTCTTCAAACAGGTGAAAATTAAAGCAAGATACTGTGTGTATCTGTTGTCCAAAAATAATAATTTGGGCATGCGTTTACGCAGTCCTATTGTATTTAGTGCAGTCACAGATTACGCTGTAGACATAACAGTGTATGCTGTGAATGTATGTTAAAGCTGTTACACAATATGGAAATCCTTATTAATGTTGTACTACACAAAACATTATTATTAGTATATCGTTTGGGCTGTGGGAAACTTAAAATCCTGTCAGGTATTTATTTCTCCCTGCCTTTTTTTTTTTTTTTCTCCCCATATCAGAGAAAGGGAAAACATGGAAAGTAACGTAATAAACTACTGTTCATTTAATACCGAAAGTCTTATATGCATCCGCAGAAGTAAGGAAATCCAGAGCCAAGACAGAACCACAATCAGCTCTTCCTTTTATGACCAGACACTGTGCGATGGGTGTCTGTAACTATTAAGTGATCTTACACTTCATGACTGTGTTGTGCCTAACTGCAAGTTTCAGCCTCAGATCTGTGTTTCCTTGCCTTTGTAGGTCTGTTGTACCCTCTGTGTTGTTCATACAGTTTTACATGCCTGATTATTAATAATAATTGCACTGCAGATTTCAAAAGCTGCTAAACACTGTGAGAACTCTGTATAAATGTAACATCTTTTAATGCCTGCAAGTAGAAGTTTCTGTACTGTGCAAGAGTTACTCAATTCCTGACTTGAGTAAATAGCCACACTTAGCTTAAAAATAAGTACCAGTTTCATTAAAAGATACAATTGTGTTCTGATCTCCCAGAATATAAAATAAGGTCTTAACTAGATAGAATAAACGCCCTAGTCAGCCTAACTGAGAATTCCCTTTTCACTTTTTTGGCATTTAACTGTACTTTTAGACCATAATTGCCAGCTTCTTTCATCTCTTCTAATTACAAAAAAGATAATGTTTTAAGGTAAATGGTTCAATTGCTTCACTGACTGTTAAGATAATTCCTGACAGACCTTTGATTTGCCCTTCTCTGCCAGTCCCTTTAACGTTCAGAAAACTAGAAATGTTTTTGTTGCAACTGGAGAGACCGGGCTGATATGGAAGTCCTTTCGGTGGTTCTGAAAACATGACCCAGAAGCTTAATGGACTGTTTAAATCAGCTGGACTCATTAAAGCCTTTATTTTTGACTCATTGTAACTACAGAGACTGCCCTAGAAATGCTGCACTACTTAAATTTCTGCATTTTTATTGATACGTTTCTGTCATAATCTGTGTACGTTTTAATTTTTTGACCAAGTTGTGCCCGCACTGAACATTCTCAGTAGCGTTGCTGAGAACAGAGGCGTTCGTTCTTGCTGCTGCTGCTTATTTCCATTAACTCATCTTAAGTGATACGATTGGTTTTTGGCTAGTCCCGGCCAAGCGCTCCCTTTTCTTCCATGCCAACTGCAGAATGACCTACAGATGTTAGTTGACTTCCTATGGATTGACTTGCTGGATAGCTGTGTACAGTCAAGGCATTGCCTGCGCTCTCATGAAACCTGCACTCGTATTTTCCCTTCTCCCTTTTTCGGAAGGACACTCCTGGATAGGTAATAATTTGCAGTTAACCTTGAACTGTGCATTTTCCTAATGTGTGTACAGTGGTAACAAATCAATGTGGTTCTGGTGATGGAAATTCTGCAAGATGTAAGCCTATTTTTGTAGAACCTTTTTTAGATCTGGGGACCTGATTGTATGCTATATAGCCAAATTAACAAACAAAAAAATTATATATACACATACATAAATATGTACAGTGATAAAAACTATTCTTGCTAATACCGGATTGTAGTTATTGTATTTAAAAAATAATTTGTCATTTAGCAGCATATAAATGCAGGAAGCTTTTTGTCATTTGAAATACAAGGAGGGTTCCAGTTTTAGATGTCCTGTGTGTCAATGAAAGTCGCATTAAGTCCTTGCTGTGGTGCTACTTCTGGACCACTTACCATTGCTTTTGCCCTCCTGCTCTGATTGTAGGAACAAATTGGACCCTAACTGGTTGTCTGGAGATGTGAGGATGGATTAAAAACAAACGAACAAACAAACCAATCCCCCAAACTAAACCAAACTTCCTGCTCACTCAAAATTCCTGGAGGTGATAAAGGAAAGTGAGGATGATGAGTTTCCGGCAGGGACATAACCCTGGTCTCTAGCTCTTTTCATGGGCAGAACAGGCTGAAGGCCAGTCTGTCTCCCTGAGACAGTAGCTGCCACCACTACTAGCCTGTTGTGCTTGTTCTCGTGACCAGACTGTCACAGGTAGAAGTGGCAGCAGCAGCTCTTCTAAAAATCTTGAGAGCAGCTTCTGGCTTGCCGCTGTGCCCTTCAGTCAGAAGCCATGGTGCTGCCTTGGTCTTCCTCCTAACAGCATCACATTTAGAAGAAGCAGAGTATGGCAGATGCCCTAATTCACTTTCGACCCTTTTTTGTGTGCCAGCCCCGTGGTCAAAAGTCATCTGCCATGGATTGGTTAGGAGCGGTGGCCCAAGCAGCACCTGACTGGTCTGTGCTTCACTGGGAAGCAAAGTGCTGGTGTATGTTTTGCTTTGCTGAAGGGTGGATTCCGGGGGTCCCACTGTAGTCTGTAATTAGAGGTAAATTTCAGTTTTCATCTGATGTCCATCAATGATGACAACTGTTTTCAGCTTCTCTCAGGTACAAAGGACCAAATGTAACACTTGCGTTTCCTAACTCCTTGTACAAATGGGTATTTTGTTACCTCAGTCTCTTTGGTTCTGTGAGTAGAGTACACCATGTACATACAACTGTTAATAAATGTAATTTTGAGAACCTCATTCTTAGTTGTCTTCAGTAACAGTTCAGCAG